ATAGTTTAGGATTCATGTAGGAAGTTATTATTCAAGATTATCTAAGACGTGAGATCTAAGAGGGAGCGCACGGGATGACTCAACTGCTGTGATAGATAAAAGATTACGTGTGACAGACACGTCCAGCTACCGCGACTCAGCACAGAACGCTTTGTTGACATAAAGCTCGTTAAAATACAAACAAGTAGCATAGGCTACAATACTTTACACTATTGTGTAGATACTCGATTACCTGAGTTAATAGGGAGGGGGGTAATGAAAAATACGGTTGATCCAATATAGTATAAAAAGAGATGACAAACCCATTAAAACGCTGTAAACAGCCATTAACGTCACGATTTGCATTTTTGTAAACGAAATTCAATATTGCACAATCATTATTTATTGTGCAATTACATTATTATTATACATTTAAAATCATTTATTTTGGTTCAGTGTTCAGTTGTACAAACGGCAACGTTTAAAATTATAGCTAACTCAAACTCAACCAATAATAACTAGCCAAACACGGCATTGCTATAGATAACGTAAATATTAAAGGAACCTTTAGAAAGTGTTATAAGCTACTGCTCATGATAGACAGATAGGCTACCGATAGGTGCTGTATCACAGCATATGAATTTGATAGATAAGTTAAAAAAAGTGTAAAATTATATTTAGAGATAATAAAAACCCTTTAAAAAAAGAATGTAACTAGAACAATCTTGTTATTCTTTTTCTTTGTTCTTCTGTTCTTTATTAGGTTTCTCTTCAATTCATACACAAATTCAACAAGTCGCCATATTTTTAGGCCTACTCATTGCCCAATCACAACCTTACTAAAGTTACCATGGTTACTAATCACTCAATCACTAAGCATTATATCGTCATCATTCCCCAGCTGTTGTATCTGAAATCTGTTATAACATAGCGCACAGCAGACAGAAGTGTAAAACGGAGCAGACGATTGTTGGCGCAAGCGTTGTTTCCATTTCATTTTCATCAAATGAGCTGTGATGTTTCCAAAGGGAGGGAGAGGGGGTCGTTATATCAAGAGAAAGACGCTGACAATTCGTTAAGCATATTTTACAAACGCTATATAGATATTCTGGCAATTAAAAATTCCTTAAATTGAGGTGACCTATAAAGCTCTAATTTTTTTATATAGAAAGATAAGTTTTCCAGTCCTGTACAACACTGATTCGCGGTCTTTTCCAGGTAATCAAAATTCAAATACAACTTGATACACACAGAATCTCCGGTTCCCGACCTGGATGATAGCTAGTTATTTAATTTAATTTACAGTTACATATTACCCGTGATAAATCAAACCCGTTATGCAAGCCAAAGCCACACGGTTATTAATCTCACTTATGGTTTTGAATTTGCTTACAAACGTGATCAGAAATGGTTAGGGCCTACACAGTATTTGTAAACAACATTTATGTAAACATTTCAGTGACAGCTAGAAAAAGGAATCTTTATCAAAACAGCTGTTCGTAATTTCATATATGACGTGTTCTCTTAATAGATTATTAGTATTTAATAAATGACGTATGTAGTAAACATGGAGAAAAACTAGAAAAATCACACCAAATTGGGTTTTTGATCGTCCGTTATTTTATTTCCAAAATAGTGAGGCCATATTTTAATGGCTAAGGACACTCTCGCCAATCCTGTGAATACAATTAAACCATTAGAATCATAATCAATACTCTAGTTTTTTTAGAGTAGACTGCGTAAGATGCCTTCCGGGCCATGGCAGCCGAACATAAATTGAGATAACGTAAAATAACCCAAAACGAGCTGTTGGCCCGTCCTACGTACGGGAATCGAGTAGTCCATTAAAATTGTATATAGTGTGTCTATTACTAATTCAAGCATAGTTTAATCAGCTCAAGATTTATAGTAAAGAAAAGGCTGCCAAGATGAATTAAAACATGTTTTCATTGTTATTTTCCCAACTTTTCATAAAAATGTCGAGTAGTAAAATAATTTTCATAAGCTTTCTTTTGAAGATTCGTGAGCTTTGATTAGTATACAGCAATGGTTATAGAATCTTACTTATTTCCTATAATCAATGACAAAATCACAGAGTAAATAAACTAACCTAATAGTTTTATAGAATATTTTTATATCCATCCAGCTGGTAGTTATAACAAATTATATTGCACTAAAACAAACTAAATATTTTAAAGACTGCTCAAAAAATAAATTAGAACATCTAGTATTTTATTATGTGTATTTAAATAAACTCTCATTCTCTTACCGAATAAATGAACGTATCAATGATTGAAAGCATTACACATATTAAAAATAAGTCAATTCTACGTATGTCATTTCATTTTCATCCAAAGGCTGAATTTGTGTCGAAAACGCTGAATGTTTACAGCTGTTGCAAATGATATTATGTCAAAAGCTAGAGTAGAATGTTAGCGTCGGCTGCTAGACTTTTTAAAATTTTAAACTAAATTACTAAAAAACTGAAACCCTAAACTAAAATTATGGCTTCGACATTCCCTAGTTCTCAAAATTATCTTTCTTTCAACACAAAAATCATGAAAATTCGTCAAGTGGTTGATTCAGAGTCGTGAAATAAAAAAACCCTGTCACTTTTAATATATAAGATATGTATCATTCTGAGCAATGTACAGACAAAACTATAACTTTATTTATATAGATAACTGGGTTTTCAAATAGTGCTGGGCGGGGGAATTATGTTTCTCGTTTGTTGTGTACCTCTTTTTTTTGGTGGGGGGGGGCTGTCGCTCAATTGGGGGGGGGGGGTGCGTCATGAGTCTAGGGGGGGATGGGCACCCCTGGATATTTTATCGGTTCATGGTGCCTGCACACATACCGGATTTTTGTCAGTAAAACGATCAGTCTTTGTTGTGTCGAGGACGAGACGAGATTATTGAATACTAATCCTAAAAGAGTTGTTGCTATGTGGTTATTGTATCGACGTACTAAGCGCCGTAGGATTAAACATAGGCCTTTGATTCATCCAATTAATCAAAGCAGAGAAAAAACGGGAACATTCCACACACTTTTTGAAGAACTAGGCTGATAGCAGTAAAATGTTCAACACTATTTCAGAATGTCAATAGCATCCTTATCTATAAAGTCACCCATTTAAAACATTATAAACACGCACTACCAAAACTAATTAAAAATGTCAGAAGAGCAGTCGCCTGAAATGGAGGATGGTGTAGCGAGAACTGCCGATACGATCGGTAAACAATCGATGCGTGTGCAAGCTTGTATTTAGTTACGTACGCCACTGCATCGCCGGCACATCCCGGCAGCACCGGTGGTATGTGTATAGTGGCAGTGGCCGGCTGCTCATCGGCATTTTACCGGCGCCGATCAGCGGTCAGCGTGTTTGCAAGGTCCCGTTCCCACCTGCGATTCACTATTGGAATTTGGATGGCCAGTAAACAATCGGTCGTCCAAAATCGGTGTGTGTGCAACGAGCCGGACAAGGACAAGTGTGGTCGTTACCACCCTTTGCGAGACGAAGTAAAGTGCGAGATTACCATACGAGCCAACGATATGAGTCTGGTAAACACATGGACGAGTGACGTAAGATATTTTACGCCATAAAAAATCAAATCAATCTTTATTTTTAACAAATAATAATGCAGCATTACACATGAAATATATAAAAATTATCACATATGGGCTTCTGCCTGTGCGTGATAAATCAAATCAAAACGTTTATTGCCAAAACAAAATACATTGTATAGCAACGTCAAGGTAAAAGTTTAAAAACTTTCCTAATGACTTAGATGAAATTAATGATCTAAAAAATCATCAACACAGCTAAACTACATATAACATTACTACTATGGTGTTCTGAAAGACTTAGAATTCAGACATTTTATATTACTCGGCAACAAGTTAAAACCTTTTTTGCTAAACTCGCAAAAACTCACAATTTTGTAGACTTAAAATTACACTGATTTATTGTGAGAAAAGAGTGCTTCCTGGTGTTGTGGTAATGAACAGATTCGTTTGTACCAAGCCATAACTTCTCCAAGCTAACTTATCAATAAAAATCTGCACAAAATCCTTATTATATTCCCACCGACTAAAGGACTAACACACTACTCGAACCACTGAGGCTATGTTTTTGCTTATAACCATGCATTGCCAAACATAATCAGCTGGTTGGTGTTCGATAAAAGCTCATTACAGTACAGTAGTACGTAATGAAACCCCATTTGATAAGCTGGTGGCAAACGGCTGTTTTCTGCACTAATTCCTTGTTTGGGAAGCATGTCAAACCATTGTAGGGTGGCGTGATAATAATTGATCAAAACCCTTGTATCATAGACTAACCAATACAGTATATTTTATCCATGCGCGTATCATTGACTGATACGGACATCATAATAATATACTGTAGTAGACTGTATCATATACTGTAGGATACTGAAGTAGACATCCCATCTGGACCATCTGTCGCCAAGTTTTATTATTAAAACAGAACGTAGTTCGTAGTTGTGTAAGTCAGTCACAGTCACAGAATGAGCTATATCCAAAATTCTATTTTATACCTTATATTTTGTTGTTTGCCAGGTTGATGGGTCATAACAGTTGCTATATATCTCACCATAAGTCATTCCCTAAGTTTTACTTGGTAAAAAGTTTGTGTATTCGACAGAATTTATATTAGTAATTTAGATCAGCGCAATCGGTTAGTAGCTCACTTCAACTACGACGATTTTGATGAAAAAATCTTATTACACATTTATCATGGGTATGGAATATCTAGTCAAATGCTATATCTATTCTACCATAGATAAAACACACTCCCTTTGTTGGTTAGTCATCCATGATTCTACTTTTGTAATAACTCACATTTAAAATTAAATTTTTGGCATTAGATCTTGCAATTTGTTAGAACTGAAAAGATTTTTCAGGCAAGTAAGAAATGAGTATGTTTTATCGATGGAAATAGTTTCAACAGCATGCATACCAATTTAATCATATTTGCAAAGAAAAATTCTTATGTATTTTTCATAATATAAAGATCTAACAATGAAAACACATTTTAAAAGGGATCTAACAATTCACCATGTTAAATGATACAAGCGAATGTTGTGTTCAGAATTACCATGCACATTATCAAGAAAACAGAATGGGCTCAATTCATCTGCAAACACTTTGTAAATAGCAGTAAATAAAGGAAACTTGTAAGTCATGTCTTTCTCTTGTAACCATGTATGGAGTTTCCTTACAGTGTGAAGACCCTCTATGGAGCCTTCATTTGACTCATCAAAACTCTTTGATAATATTTTGCTCTTCACAAAGTGTTCTCCATATTTACGATTTTGACCAGCAAGGTAACAGGTCGCAAGATCAGCAATACCACAACTCTCAAAGAATGTGGAGACTTTAGAGGCAGGATAAAATAAATCAATAAATTTGATCATTTCAATCAACCCAAGTCGAATCACTGTTGCTTTAGCGCTTCTCCCAGAGTCAGTACCATCCAAAAACCCCACCCCACAGGCTATTATGTTTCTCAGAGAGCCACAAACTTCTACAGCGTCTACATCATCAATTATAGATACTCGGAAGTATTCTGTTTCAATGAGTTCTTTCAAAGTGGCTGCTAGTATCTTATCCTTGCACCCAATGGTAGCTTCACAGTACAATTCATTGGCTATTTCATCACAAAGATTTGCTCCCATCAATACTGATGTTTGAATTTTAAGATACCTTGTAATTATTTGTGAGAAAAGTTCAATGTTTCCATCCTCTGTCAGCTCAAGTCCTTTTGTCAAACACAATCCCGCTGCTGTGGGTTTTATTTTTCCGTAGAGTGATGCACATGTAGAAGTTATATATTCTGATTGGAGTGCAAAAACAATAATGTGAGCTTCTTTTGCTGCTTCTACAACATCAGACACTGCTACCACATTGTCAGGAAGTCGGCAACCTGGAAGGTATTTGGGGTTTTCATGTGTTTCGTTGATTACTTCGATTAATCCTTTATCATCTATCGTCTCTTCTTGTACAAACAACTCTACGGTGTCATTAAATGAGTCCAATTTAATTATGTTTGTTCCAATTACTTTAGAAATAACAGTTCCCCATGTGGTTGATCCAACAATACAGACTTTCTTAAGTTCTGACACTCGTTGTTTAACAAAATCTTGGTCTAGAGACATTTCTATTTTAACACGTTTACATAAGTCCAATTATAGACAAAACAAAGAATTATAACCTTTATACGAGCTTGGACCAGCTGTTGACTTTACGCAAATTAACATGAGATATAAATACAATTTGGGAATCAGTGTGCAAAACAGATTAAAGCAAGGTAATTTACGTACACATAAAAACAGGCTTCAAACTCAATCCATAGATTATTGTCTTGTGGTGTCCAATTCATACCCCTTGTGTTGGTCAGCCTATGCTCATTTTAAAAGAAGTCTTATATAGTGTCCAACTCAAAAGTTACTGATGCGATGTTCATATATTCGTAATTTTTAATAATTTATCACATTACCAAACATAAAAAAATACTTAAGTATTTGGCTTCCACTATTTAGTTGAGTTAGTGTTCAGTAAACTGATTTAGGACGTTTAATTGCTTTCTTGTCTTAAATAAGAGGGTCTTAAATATAGGTAAAATTTCTTACCTAAAAGAACCCAAACAATAGTTCGACGAGTTTTTAATAGTTCTGTATTTTGTAGTTAACAAAAACTTGTTTTTTTACAATTATCTGAAGTGAAGTTGAATACCTGAAAGTTTCCTCTTATCCATAATCGCCTCAAAAATTGCATGGCGTTTCAAGAACAGAGAGAGATCTCTGATACACAGACAATTAGCTCTGATCACTTAAAAGACCTTTCCTTTTTAACTCGATAGTAGGGCCTATGGATATACCCTCATCATGTACAAAGGGTCATGGCTTAATTTTTTTCAAATTATAAGATATTACCATTGATATAACATAGTTACTATTTTTCTTATCTATGATATTACCTTGGGTATCAATTTCAACCACTCAGACTTGTCTTCGTGGTGTAACCTGGTCAAACATGAGTAGGCCCTCGTTAACGCGATACCTACGGACGGGCAGTAGTGTTGAAAGATGTATTGTAAAGAGTGTATTCCATACAAACACATAATATGACCTAATTAAGACATTATTTGGAACAAAATACTGTTTGATGATAATAAATATGAGCACTTGTTAACCGATCAAATAAACTTGAGTGAATATGTTTAGAACACATGCAAAGGTTTAGTTTCATCATGACAGTATTAGCAAAAACATACTCCTGTGTTGTAGATTACTTTTCATTGTTTAATCACTAAGATTACACAATTATTTTAATTCTAAGGAGCACATATTTATAATGTATTCACTTTCAGAAGGTTTTAATCTGAACCATTGACCGTTAGTATCAACTTAACTGGTTTATTTTTGTACATTTTCGTCGTGAAGTATTTGCCTTAAGTTCCGTTTCCTGATAGTTTTAGTAACATTTACTGATGGTAGCTAGTCTATTTTAAATTTAACAAAGTCTATATTTCTTGTGTATTTTTGTTCCCTCTTCTCTCATAAAAGTTTTCATAGAGTATGTTTAAAAATGCTTTACCACTGTGGCATGGACTAGATAATATCATCAATTAATATGTGCGAACTTCTCCTCCTATTGTAAAATCGGAGTCAAGCCAAGCCGTCATGATGTGTGCTCAACAATATTTAGGAATATTTTAATCCATGGGGTCAAGTAGAGAAAAGCGCCTAGATTCGTTGATGGCAACTAAGGCTCTCACCTGTTTAGGGGTTAATATTATAGCAGTATTGATTTATATATTTATTTAATCATTGGTATGGTTTAAAAATATTACGGAACACAGGATAGTTTTCAAGTTATTTCCGCCCGAATCTTGTACAGAATGTTTTTGTTTAACCAACGAATCTTTATTGATTAGCTTATTTATAAAGTATTTAAAAAAACGTATTTATGCAGTATTTGATTTATACATCAGACATCCCTATGACCTCCGACGTCACAGTTGCTACATTTTGCTGATGACAAGTTATGTGGACCCTCAAATTGCTTACTTTGCAAGCCGCCTTGAATGAGCTTCGCAGTGGCTTAAGAAATGGAGGATACAATTGATACAAGTGGTCAAAAACAAGTCAACACATGACATATTATATATTTTTACTCTGAGAAAATAAAACAGTCCTCCAGTATCAATTAATTATAATGTATAGAGTGGACAGTGTAAACTATTTAGGTCTCACCATTGACTATTGACTACTGAAGTCTATTGTATTGATAGTCATCCTCACCTATCTTCGCCTATTGGGTCTGATGATGGTTGGAGTGTCCAATCGAAATCGATCACCACTTACCATCGTTTACTTATATTTACCCACCGTCTTGTGCGTAACAGTATAAGAGTAAATAAATATATGTTTTAACTGTTATACGACGTTTTTTTATTTACTTTTCATAAATTTAATAACACGAACAATGCCGATCAAGAATTTATTTTGTAAAAAGTTCTGGTATTATATTTTTATAATATTTGAAAACTTTATCTCAACCATTGATTATACATTACTAACTTAAATTAAAGGGGGTAATGTTTAAATATGTCTATTGGCATTGAACTTAAAACACTTTGTTTTCTTGTATTTGATACTATTTATTAGCGTAATCATTGATCAAACAGCTTCTACGAAGTATATAATCAATGGCTCAAAGGTATGTAACAATGAGAAAATATTGTTTTAAAGCACTGAAATAATCACTATAAATAGCCGGATGTGTAAAAATTACGCTTGGCTTTAAATTCAACAGCTAAAACAAAATATATCCCTTTTAAAAGAATATCCTACAGTTCCCTACAGTTTAGGCTTAATTCCTCTGTAAAATACTTCCAAGCTTATAATATTATTTATTTGTTCATTTGCTGTTGTTGGCATTGGCAAGCCTGCTTAATCATTTAAAACTAAATAAAACAAAAGTTCTTGTTGATGTTGATGTTGACACTGTGAAAGTGCAACTTTTAAAATTTTTTAATTTGTTTCTTTTTTACTTTATGTTACACTTTTTGTTTTTGCTCTATCAACAGAAAAAATCAACAATTCATTCACAAGATCTGTTATTATTATTTTTCTTTCAGGTAATTATTCTATTTTTAATCCACGTGTTAACTTAATTTTGGCCCCAACAACAACCTGTTGAATGGTCATAGGCTAAGCCTAATTTTGCAATAACATTGCTCCATATATATTGTGATATGACCGAGAGCTACCCACGAGCCAAGAGACATGTTAAATTTAAGTAATAAAGCTATACAGTATGTTAGTTATTACTCTTCATACATTAATGTTTAAGATTCTAACCTCATGATCCACAATTTCATACTGCTCCATGTCACTAAACAATTCTTTCATAAATGTAGCTTATCCGATAAATTGATGAAGATGCCGTTTAGTAACTTAGGCCTAGTAGTCCAGCATCTATAGGGGGTTGAGTATGCACTGAAAGTGTAACTCATTTTTTACTTTTGATTGTTGTTGGGGGCATCTTGGAGATGACAAAAACCGATGTTGTCGCCCTCCCAGCAGGTGCACAACTTGGTGGGAGGGAGGGAAGTAGCGCTGAGGCGAGTTCTAGAACATCGCTCATATCTCGTGAACTAGACACGATAAAAACATTTTTTAAATGGCATAGTATTACAAACCGCATTTGCTTTGATTTTACAATGAAAAATCTTATAGCCTACCAATGATAATAATTGAGTTATTTAACATTTTATTTGAAATTACAAATTTAAAGACAAAAAAACCGTTTATCTACCTATTTAACTCCCATAAAATAACGAATAGTAGGACCTACAGTACTGTGTTTGGAGTGTATTCTATGTTCTAGTGTTCTTTCATTGCATTTTCATTGGTAGCTGTACCTAGATTTTTGTTTAAATTTAATACTATTTAAAATAGCCTAGTGTTAAAAAACGCTTAGGCCTATAATTATTTTCTCGCTAACCCGAGAACTCCGTACATATTATTTTAAGGAAAGAACACTTAATGTTTTGTAATTTGTGTGTTGAACATTGGATTGATAGGATTGATTGATTAGGATTGATAATTATCACTAAAAAAGGATTTACAGTAATTTAGGCCTAATTGGAAATGAAACATCCTATTTCTAATTTTCAGTTTCTTTTACAACGAGTTTAGTCAACTATAGGCCTAGACTCAGTCATAACACTGACTATATTGACTGTGGACAAGCAGTCTTGTGCAGGATGTTTCATAGCTTTGAAAATAATGCTAACACATTTTTAACATTCCTAGACTTGGCTAATATGATTCTATTCTATTCTAATATGTAAGTACTTTTTTTTGACTGATGTTTGCCGAGTGTGCTGTTCTGTTTTCTTTTTCATTCTTTGCATGGTGAGTTACAGGTCATATTGTGTATGCATTTCCTTTATTATATGATGTTGAAGGAATTTCTTTTTATTCATAGATCTCATGTATATTTTATAATGTATTTTATAATGTAGAATTTGACGTTTTCCAATGACTTGTATATTGTAAGTTTTGCAGGAAATAAATTGATCTTATGTCTTATTAATAGACAATATCTAATTTCTAAATTGAGACTATTTGGCATCGTTGGGCATTCATTAAAATGGTTGATTTATCAGTTACAGTACAGTATTTATAAAATCGTTTAAAAAAATTAACATTGACTATGGAGTGGTGCAAGGTAGCACACTCGGGCCCCTCCTTTTCTTGATATATATTAACAACCTTTCAAAAGTCAGAATTAAAGGGAAAGTTTTTTTGTTCGCTAATGACACGGCCATGGTATTGTCTGGACAAACGTGGGTCGAGGCATTTATGAACACGCATCTACAGACATTTATAAAATTAAATGCTGGTTAGACCAAAACAAACACATTAACACTTAACATTAATAAATCAAAAAGTTTACCAATGTTTTTTAAGAGGCAAAGTGACCCTGGCCCTAGGCAGCTATTTCCCCATACCTGCGGTCAGCGGCTTGTACTTGTGACGTCATACAGCGGGTAGGGAAGTACACTTACTTGGCAATCATACTTGATCAAAAATTAAGTTAGGCTCACCACATTCATTATCTCAAACAACTACTTTGAAAGCTCATTTAAAATATGCATTTTCTCAACTTGCTCTAGTGCTGACC